TTTTCTCTAATAATAGTAGTAGGTCATGCTATTTTCCTGCAAAAATCTAATAAATAAAAATCCGAGATAATTTAATGAAATCAACCAAAAATTAGTTGTTGCGGGATAGAGGAGTTAAGACTCCAGAGCCACAAACAAATAGTTGTAAACGCATGCTCTGGAAATTATGAAACCGCAACCACCAGTGTCTTGTTTGCTGAAGACTACAACCAAAATTTTGACTGATGTCAATTCGCACGGATACTGAATCTACCGTCCACCTTGTTAAATAATACCGTACGCACATTGTTGACACATTTATGTCACATGGACACCAGTCAAGAGAGAGCACGAGTTTTGCTATTTGATAAATGCTACCAACCGAATGAGCTAATGTTAATGTATATGTCGCTGCGATGAGAGGTATGGCTCCAATCCATATTACTAAGAAAATCTCGCGTATATGTGTCGAATTTCTAAGGATGGAGAACCCTGATCCTGCTAGAACAGGTTTCTGGAAATCGGACATCAAGCACTTGGCCTTCGAACAGCATTCAACGCCAATACATCTGAACAGACGTGTCTGGAAACGATAATCCATATGCGTTTGAACTGTTGACGAAAACAAATATTGCTGGAGATATCGAACATGCTAAATCTCTTGACAGAGTTAAGGAGTTGCAAAGTAGAGGCCTTGTATGGCCATATCCTGTTTAAATTGAAAATAAAATAAATGTCACAGAAAGACAATACTTCATCGGCTAGAGATATTAACATGACCTGTCTACGAGGAAATACAGTATCCAATCCTTAAAGAATGAATCTGATATTTCACATTTTTTTTCCTTCATCCTCTACAATTGCTTTCACTCAGTTGTATCTACACAATAATTTACAGGGATGGATAACACAACAATATCATGTACAAGACTCACTCACTGATGGATATTTTGTTGACAGTCAGCTCTTCCCTTACAATGGAATCCCCCAAGAACCACCACCACCACAAATACCTGTCAGCAAATCAAACAAACACAGTGATTCAACACATATAGGTTTTTCCTTCCAAAGCCAAAGATATTCTCTCTTCCATAAAACAACCAGCTCTCTATTGATGAGAATGACAGCTTTGGTTGCTACCGCTCAAGCTTTGATCTAATATCTGAACAGCGGTATTTATTGATATCAAAGTAGGAACAGGCCTCAAGCTTCAAGGAATTAAAGACTAAATCTGGCACTAACAGACTGAATAAAACATTTTGCTTGGTGCCGAAGACTGAAAGAGCTCAGCTTCAACTGACGGTAGTTTAAGGTACTACTATTTAGTCTGCTCTCTAGATTGTTAGCCGTGTGATGCATATGTTTGTTCAAATGTGTAGTACTATGCAAGTAATTATTCTCTTCATTTATTTTATATTTAATACATAAAGGGAAATGCTAAGTATATCTTTTTTGTGTGTAGTAGTACAAGAGTAGTCCAGCTCTTTCAGTATAGTTATCACTGCTCTAATTTTTAATTGATGGGGTGCGGTGGCATGGGATTTGAGGTCATCGGATGTATGACTTAAATGATAAGATGTCATCATAAATGAATCATGATGTTCAGAAGCTGAGGAGTCCCAGAAGAACTTAGAATTTTAAAGTAGGGTTTACCTTTACGTAATCAAATCCTTGTTGATCTTTATAAATTACAATTCAAAGAGATAGTTATAAACAGGAAAGAAGAAAGTTATAGATAACCGTGAATCGAACGTCACAAATTATCAAGTTTCAAATCTCCCAAGAACTAACTGTTAATAATAGAGATAATGAACAAAATTGAAAGAGCCGTGTATGACGCACCTTAGCTGATCTCTGCCACCTGCAAGGAGTCTCCCTTAGTCAATACAAACAAGTTCATGGAAAAAATGATTTGAACAGAACAGCAGAATATTCTCATTTCAGGTTACTCGTGGAATTTCAGAGCGCACAGATTGGAGTACTATAGGCTTAATAAGCGGCTTTAATAATTCCATGATGCTGAAGAAAGAAGGTCTTTTCCATGGTTCACTGCAATGAGGTAGATGCAATCTAATTAGCAAGGATGTCCAAAGTACTAACAAATTGGAACGTTCAAAAAGTTGAATCTGTTCAACTTACTTGGCCCAACAAGCTTCGATTATAGCAGCCACCTGTGGGTTTAGATCATTTGGAATCTCGAGCCTTCTGCCCTTAAAACCAACTGCAGCAACCACCTGTGAGATGGCATAGTAATCCAGACCAAATTACAACATTGAAAGGGCAAAATCATCGTTGACAGTCACTTGAAATGCAAACAAGACCTGATTGTTGACAGAGAAGGTGCATTGTAGGAAATCAAGTGCTTAAGAATAAACAGCAGGAAGTCTATTTGTTTGGAGGTAAACTACAGAGATGGGAGCTCATGTCCGCTCCAGAGTAGAAATCATATCAAAACACCCTCGTGGGCAAGATACAGGAGGTGAGCATGGAGGCAGTTTGTATATTTCAATTGTCGGGTGTTCTGATATGGTTTTGTAATCCTCACTCCATGTCCAATCCAGAGTTAAACTGATCTATCCAAAAGACAAATTATATTTTCCAAGCACCACCGAATAGTATCTGCAAAACTATTTTCAAAAATTTCTGTTCCAACCTTGAAGCCCTAAACTAACATTTTGCTATAACATTTTGCTACTTTTGAGTGTTCTGGGGTGAGTAAGGCCTTAATTCAGCTCTCGCCTTAATTCAGCCTAATCCTCTTATAAACTAAGTCCGGTAATTAGCAACTTCAGCACCAATCAGGCCTTACAAAAATCATAGACTTGTAGGGTTAATTGCGGATAGACCCCCTTTAGTTCTATTTAGTTCTTGTTGCAGATAGACCACCTGACCTAGAGTGAAAATTCAACTCTTTTACCCTCAGAGAAAGCTTTTTTTTCTGACAAAGACCTCCTGAGGGTAAGAATCAAAAGAATTTCACTCAGGGGGTTTATTCGCAACAATAGAATTACAGTGGGTCTATCTGCAAATGAGCAATAGTACAAGAGGTCTATCAGCAATTGAGCAATAGTACAAGAGGTCTATCCGCATTCAACCCTATAAAAAATATTGCTACTTTAAGTAAAAATTGCACATCTGCGCAGGTGGACTTGCAATGTTTTGTTGGAAAAACTGTAGGCGACATCGCTATTGTGGGCAAGAGGAACTGAGTACCCAACCCCCAGCTGCAACTTCCCAATAGCATACTCATACGATATATCCCAACAACAACACGCTCATATACCCCCAACAACCTCACACTCATACCCACGCACCCACCCACCCAACGTCTGCCAGATGCTGCCAATGCCCCCTCTCCACTTCATGGAAGGCACCAATGGACTGGGACTTACACTAAGTGTATAATCAGAGGGCAAAACAGCTTTATGCAAACCTGCAGACAGCATGATAAAAGAAAATGGATTGGAGGGGCTCAGGATCGTTTAAATGGTAATGAACCACCAGTATGTTAACATAAAGAGTACAAGACAACCTATATAGCCCAAGACATCAACAGTAATTGGACAGACCTTGTCTCACATCCAAAAATAAATAAATTTCAACTTTTGATGGGGATGTTCAAACCTGAGCTGGATTCAAATTTGTCCATGGTTGTTGTAAGGTCATAAGCTCCCACAGTATTACACCGAAGCTATAAACATCGGACTTCTCATTTGAATGTTCATCACGGAGAACTTCTGGTGCCATCCACTCAGGCTGATGAATTAAACAAACATATGGTATCAACTATTTCTGTAATGTATTGAAAATGAAGTACAGAACCGTGGACTTGGTCACTGCAACTTACTGTTCCTGCAAGCGACTTGGATGAAAGAAATGTGTTTGCCTTCAAACGTGAGAGACCAAAATCACAAATCTGGATCATTGGGAATGAATTTATAGTTCAAATGAATGTTATTCTCAGTCAGTACACAGAAATATCAAATAGCAAGTGAAAATTAAGAATAATACCAAAATGCTTTGCAAAATGAGAACCATCAAGTTTAAAGTACGAAATTCTCCAGTCAGAGGATGTTTTTATAATTGGAAACAATATTAGGATAAAAAAGTAACACATCAGGAGAAAAAATATATATACTCCCAAATTTTTGGGGTTGGAAGCTTGCAATATCTGAGGATACTAATTACTAAATATGTACAAAAAAATCCATTTCTCCAAGATAGAAACTGTAAAGATAGCAAATGTACAAGAATATCCAAGTATTGAAAAGAAACATGAATATTGAATCTAAGGAGTTTGATTTAAATTTGAGCTGTTCATATTCGGCCTTGACATCTGTTCATCACATATTTCTTGAATGTCAGTGCCATCAGACTTATTCATGAAGCTCAGCAAAATTAGTTTATAGTGAGATATTGGTGCTTTCAGTGAGTAGGTGCAAACAAGAAAGGGGATCTGTCCATCAGATGTGTGTGTAGAACTGTATGCAATGAGTGCCAGCGTTTCAGAAAGATAATGAACGAAATTATTTATTTTGAAATAAAAGTCCAAGCATGCAACATGTCATGTTTATCACACTTCCTTGTAATGGAGAATGAATTGAATTTCCTAGTTCAATATAGTCGAAGGATGCAACATATTATCTTCATGGTGCTCCTTGTGTTGGAGAAACTAAAATTAATCCTGATGAGGGTGTATGGCCAGGATGTGTTGTTACCTGCTCTCAGCTAGATGAAGTATTAACATCTCGATACGCTACAGGTGATTAGGGGTGCCAAAAAGTTATACATATCCGCTGAAATATCCGGATCCAGATCCATACCCAAAATATCCGAATATATGTCAATTATAAAGTTGCAATTATTTTAATCCTTAAATTAATGGATTTGAGACTAATTTTAATGACCACAAGATATAATCTTAGTTTTTCAGATCTAACAAGCATACTAGTGAACTCGCTTATATCGCACAAACTATATTTTCATATATTATTCGGCTTTATCGTATCCGTTTTGTATTCACATGCATATTCGCATATGTATCCGCAAGTATATCCGTATCCACATCCAGTTTAGTGGATATGGATATCAGTTTCTCTTACTAAGACATATCTGTATCTATGATTGGTAAGTGGATACGGATATGGTAAATATCATATCCGATCCGTATCCAATCTGTTAACACGCATCGTTCAGTTTATAGATTGAAGCTAATGCATTTTTACTCAGTCGTTATAGGGTAACTCTCTCACATGCATAAATAGTTGCCAATCAACAAAAATGCCAAGCTGATCCTACACAATGAAGCATGCAAATCTATTGGCAGGGTAATCAGCCAGCAGACTGTCAGTATACCATGCAGAGGAATAGACTGGAAGAGAGGTTTGGTTCTTGAACTTTTCGAGGGACTGTTGGATTATGTGCTGATGAATCCTCCGCTATTTTGCATGAGATAAATAAGCAGCTTCAGCTTGATGAGCAAAAAACTGAAGGGCTTTTACTGATGAACTGAAACTAGAATTTCTGGCTGTTCTTATTTTCTTGGGAAGTCGCAACTATTCAAAGCTTGAAGATCTGTAATATTTAGAGATTTTCTGCAGAACATCAAAGTATATGGCTATATGCAAACAGAATAGAAAATTAATCTGATAGATCATAGAACCACCACAGGAAAAGAAAATAGAAATTTATAGATATCAATGCAGAATGTTGCTTGAGAATTAAACCATGTCATGGCACAAAAAACTAATACTTTGAAAATACAGCACTACAGGATCCTGTTAGTAATACCAAAGCATAACTGGAAAACCATAAATCTTACTTTGACGGTATACTTTTTGTCGACCAAAAGATTGGGAGACTTCAGATCGCGATGAACAATTGGAGGATTGCGTTTATGAAGATAATTCATTCCCTTTGCCTGATCATTAGCAATGTCGGTGATATATTTTATTTGAAGTAGTTATCTTTAGCAAAAGTGAGAAATAACAAAATTTTGATTAAAAGAAAATAACTTTATAAAAGGCATACCACGTCAAAAGCCATATTCAATCGACGTCTCTCATCTAGAACTTCTCTTGCACCGTGTCTATGTAGAAGCCTATATAAGCTTCCTCTGCAATTAATTAACAGACAATCAAAAACTAGTTATCAGACTGAGGTAGAGTAAACTAGGTCCACTTCTGTAGAAAAATAGGTAACAAAGAGAAAGAGTACATTAGAAAGGCATATCACACCTGGACAAATATTCAGTGACAATGGAGAGATTAGGAGGCTGCGTAACAGCACCCATGTAAAGAACAATGTTTGGATGCCGCAGGCTTTTCATTATTGCAACCTGAGATAAAATTTATATCGATCAAATATATACCTATAGAGATATTACAGAGCAAAAATTGTTGCAATGTTATGCTTATAGTAATTCGTTTTCTCTAGAACAAATTAAAACAATAAAGAAAATCTTCAGAAAATGTGTAGAGCAACTCCAAAGAGAACAATGCAATGCTTACAATAGCTGAAACAAATCCTGGCTCCTCTATTAACTTTTCTTTTAAATGCAAAGATATGACATGCATATATTAACTCATTTAGTCTAGATAATCAGCACATAAACAATAATGACTGATGCACGCTCCACAAATCAGGGATATTTCCTTCCCATAAAGAAATGTTATATTTGAGATTCTCAAGATACCAATACCTATCAAAAAGTATACACATTAGGTGCAACACATCTAGTGGAAGTTGTATTTTCAACAATTGACTCTTTTGTTTTTCCAAGATTCTGGGGGTTTGATCATTAACGTCAAAGGATGTAGTGTATAAGTAACTAGATAGTTCCAGTTTCAGAAATCTAGTGCTGCCTGCTATATTACACTACCATAAGCTTACGTAGTATTTTGAAGCTCTGGAAACAAAAGGAACATAACTAAATTACTACACCGTCATGCATCTGACAGACACCTGCATTTCTCTGGAAATGTACAATCTTTCTTGAAGTAGGATAGCACTATAAGTACTAGATTAAGCATATCCATGCACATGCTAACTTATTTTTGGAGAGGTGATGCAGGACAATTATGGACAATCGGTTTGATTAAATTAGGATTTATTAAGATCTTTTTATTTTGAAAATATTTGATGCAATCTTTGTTTTAGGTAGGATTTCCTTAAGATTTGATTAGGATCTTTAGGATTTTTTAGATTTTATTTTGTTAGATATTTTATTTTGTTACTTTAGAATTGAATGTTAGGATCTTATGAGATTTTATTTTATTGTGTTTCCTTTTGAGTTAAAACTTTTAATTTTTTTTAAATAAGGTGTAAGCCTCACTAAGAAGGTAGACGTTGCTAAATGAAAAGTTATGAAAATTTTTGAGCATGCGATTTGCTTGTGTTAGGCATGTGAAGGGTCTTGGGGGTGTGAAGCCCTTGGGTGTGAGGCCCTTGGATGTGAAGCCTGGTTATCACAAAACCCTCTCTTTCTTTGATCTCATCCATCTGTTTAAAGTTCTCAATTCTAGCCCTTTATCTCAAAAGTCCACAAATCACAGCCCAAAAATTAAAAAATTGTTACTGTTCACGTCCATAAAAACTGAAGTAATCATACTCCCTTTAAAAACACGAGTTCGGAAAAATCTTTTCATGGTCAATATTACTCTTCACTATTTTGAATATTTCATATACATCTTAATCTATCCTAATGATAATTATATCATATCCTAATTCTACGTGAACTATCTATAGCTCAACAATTTAAAAAATAATAAATAATATATATAAAAATACTTTACGCTATTAGTTTGTTAAGATAAAGAAATTATATGTAGCTAATATACTATAATATATGAAGTATTGCAAAATAACCTAAAAAGTTTAAAGTTGCACAAAATACCCTGAAAAGTTTAAAATTATAAAAAACATCCCGACGTTTCAAAACTTAAAACAACAAACATTAATCAAGAAATTAATAGTAGTCTGAAGAAATTAAAATTTGTGGTTAACACTTGAATGTCTCAAAATTTATAGAAACACGCTCAAAAGTTTAAATTACAAATAAGCACCCTGAAATTCTAAAATTTCAAAAATTTCAAACAACATAAATGAATTCAAGAGATTACCATAATGCACCTAAAAATTTTAACATTTCAAACTTAGAATAACAAACATAAAATTAAGAAAGTAATAGCAGCCTCTAAAGAATTTAAAATTTCTAATTAACACCCTTAATGTCTCAAAAATTATAGAAACACACACAAAAGTTTAAATTATAAAAAAACACCATAAAATTTTAAAATTTGCAAAAAAATGAATTCAAGAGATTACCTTCATGCACTTAAAATTTTAAAATTTACCAAAATTGACCTTAAAGTTACAAAAATTGCAACAAAAAACTTGTTCAAAATTTAAAAATTGAAAAAAACTCTAAATTTTTAAAATTTATAACAAGTACACATTAAATCTAGAAATTACTAGCAGACCGCTGATATTTGAGTTTTTTAAAAATTAATCTACAATTTTAATAATTGTGAAAGGACCTTTAAATTTTCAGAGTTGTAAGAAATATTCTGACATTTAAAAATTATCACCGACACATGAAACATAAAAGTTATAACTGCTAAAATTAAAAGTAAATTTTTTTAAAAACTGCTAAAATTAAAAGTAAATTTTTTTAAAAACACTCCTAAAATTTTAAAAATTACAAATCACACCCTTAAAGTTCAAAACCACAAAAAAGGCTTAACTTTTAAAACTTGGCAAATAAATGAGTAATTATTTGGTATTCTTTCATTAAGACACACACATATGTATGTATGTATGTATAACTTTCAATTTAGGGTTTACTATCCCTTTTTAGCATCTACAAGTAGTCTAAGTTGATGCCGGTAAACAAAAGCAAAATTTGATTAAAAATATTCAGTTAAGGAATAAATTTTTTTAAAAATATATGATAGCTTTAAAATTATTTTTACTATATAAATCAAAGTAACTACATGTAATTTTACTAATAAGTTGAAGCAGCAAAAATACATTAGTAACATTAATTCATACATGTTTAAATCCATAAAAATAATAAAAGACTATAATATATTAGCTTAGCATTAATTGATTATAATTTAGAAACATTAATCTATAATGTAAATAATATTTATAGGGTAATGCCAGGAATTACATATGGAGAAACTATCAGAATGTTGAGAGATATCATTCAAAGACTCAAGCTATTTCCATTGCAGATGACAAAGTGACAGAAATTAATCAAAAAACACCGACTGAGTTCCATTGAAGAATAATTTAACTTTATCTCAATCAAAGAAAAATTCTCCATGAAAGATATAAGAAAAATTAGTAAGTATTCATAAATTTCATACTTTGTTCTTCAAATACTAAAGAAATTAAATATTAATACTATAATCTAAGGCAAATTGGTAATGAAAAATTCATGTATTTAGTTTAGATTTTTGTGAAAAATGATAGGGATAGAGCAAAGGTAACATTATCGATATAATAGAAACTCTTATTGGATGTACATCAGAAGAATTCATTGTAGAGGAAAAAGAGGTAGTTCCTAATCTTATTTAAGTAAAAAATTAGGAACACAAATAATTTATATATTTGAAATTAAAATTTATTCTCATTGAATTAGAAAAAAAATCAAAGTTTGTATTTGAAGAAGTTTGTGTTGAACATTAGAAATATATTTGACTTCTTTATGAAGTTAAACGAGAAGATAAAAGAATAACGAGCCTAGGAAAGATAACAGTGCAAAAAATACAACTTCAGCCTGATGTCACAATCAATGTAGATAATAGAGACACTATTCTAAAATTGCCTAGGAAAATGATAAAGGTGAATAAGGATTGATCTTAGCTCAAAAAAAATAGAAGGAATAAAAGATAATATTTTCTAAATGTTTTATAGAATAATTTATTGTTTTGAGTGAAATTAGGAATCTTTAAAAGGGAGTTTGATGAACATTTTTTAATACTTTTATATGTTTATGTGGATGTTTTTATCATATAAAAGTATACTAGAATTAGCATTAATATTTAGTTTATAATTTTTATGAAGTCTATTAATGATTAAGAACAAATTTTATATTCTCTTTTGTATCGTTTTAGCATACTTTTAATCAATCATCTTGCATTATTGGTTTTAAATATTCACCTTCTTTGTATAACATTGTTCCAATATTTTTCTCTTTTGCAACACTGTATTTTCTCAAGTAAAACATGGTTTTATGTCTGTCCAAATAATATGAAAATTCAAATCAGCTTCAGATTATATCTATTTCTATCAATTCAAATATCAACATGAAAATTTAAATTAGCTATAGCCCATTTAAACAAACATCAAAGAAAATAAATAATCGTTATGTTATAGTTCAGAGACAAAAGTAAGCATAAACTATAAAGTGGAACCAAGGAACAAATTTTAGTTAGGAAATAAGCTAAAAATAATTAATCATGGTATCTAACCACGTGCATTGCACATGTATAAAACTTAGTATTAAAAAATCCAAGATATAAAAATCAATAATTATAATTCTTAGTTAAGAACTATGTTGCATAGGTACGAGTACATGACACGGCAAATTTGCAAAAGGTAGGGTACGGGGATATAACTATACAAATATTTATATACACATATATATTAAAATTAATAGTTTACATGATATCAATATTTTTTATTCACATGTTACGAGAATTAAAATTCCTATAACCTTTTTATGTTTTTTTATTATGTGGACTATAAATTGTAACAACGTTTGTTTTTTGAAGTAAACACTCAAATGACCATTAAAATCATAGTTTGAGGACCAACGGATTTCAAGAAGTGGATGCGAAGTGTAGGATGTACACCTAGGAAATGTTTGACAAGTGTTCTAAATTAAAACATATATTGTTTAATTGAATACATGCCCAAATAAATGTATGCATCTATCAAGGAGTGTCCAAGGAGTTTGGGTATGGGTATGGGTACGGGTGCATATAGGATACAGGTGCAGCTTCAAAATAGAAGTACCAAGGTTTTAAATGTCGGATGTCGGGTTCATGTCAGATGGCTGAAATCCATGTCGGATTACGAAAATCGGGGATATATCGGGGACATTGACTAAATATCTGATTGCCATATCAGGTAGTGCGCATATGTATAATATCATGTCCTAAATGTAATCTAAGCATTCATAAATTCAATATAAGCATGCTTTATAAATTCTATAGACTAAACATATAAAAAAGTAAATAATATATGGATTTGGGTTAATAAATTCTTTCTATCGGGTTCATAAGAAACCCTTAAACATGAGAACGGCATGAGAACGGGTCAAACGGGTTTGGGTATTTATCACTAAACCCAAACCCGATAACAAAAAACAGATCTTAAAAAAATACCATATCGGCCGATTTTTCAAAGCTAAAAAATAGACCGATATGCCCGATATGACCCTGATATTTCCGATTTGGCCCTGAAAATCGACATACGAGTTGAAAACATCTATGTCGTGTCGGTCAAGCCCTCAAACCGATATGTCGGCCGACATTTAAAACCTTGATTCTAATCCATAAAGCATTATTGGTCTTATAACCGTTCTATAAAAATTTTATTCTAATCTCATTGGTATTCTACAATCACATAAGATTCCGAAAGCACTCCTCCGTTTTAACCATCCAGATTTGATTCGAGGAACATCATCCTCAATCTCACTATCATTAGGAATTATTAATCCTAAATAATGAAAGTGATTACTTTTGGATATTTATTGACCATCTATATATATTGTAGGTTCTACTTTAGAAATTATCCTTCTCTAGTCTCATCAACTATTACTATATTATCAGCAAATAATATATACCATAGGACTTCATAGTTCATCCTGAATATGCCTAGTAAATTGGTTCATAGCCGGTGCATCCATGATGCAAACCTAAGGTATAGGAAATGATTTAATCTCTCATTCATTTGTTCTTACTTTAATTGTTACTTTTTCATACATACATTTAATAGTGTCCAAGGAGTTTGGGTATGGGTATGGGTACGGGTGCATATAGGATACAGGTGCAGCTTCAAAATAGAAGTACCAAGGTTTTAAATGTCGGATGTCGGGTTCATGTCAGATGGCTGAAATCCATGTCGGATTACGAAAATCGGGGATATATCGGGGACATTGACTAAATATCTGATTGCCATATCAGGTAGTGCGCATATGTATAATATCATGTCCTAAATGTAATCTAAGCATTCATAAATTCAATATAAGCATACTTTATAAATTCTATAGACTAAACATATAAAAAAGTAAATAATATATGGATTTGGGTTAATAAATTCTTTCTATCGGGTTCATAAGAAACCCTTAAACATGAGAACGGCATGAGAACGGGTCAAACGGGTTTGGGTATTTATCACTAAACCCAAACCCGATAACAAAAAACAGATCTTAAAAAAATACCATATCGGCCGATTTTTCAAAGCTAAAAAATAGACCGATATGCCCGATATGACCCTGATATTTCCGATTTGGCCCTGAAAATCGACATACAAGTCGAAAACGTCCATGTCGTGTCGGTCAAACCCTCAAACCGATATGTCGGCCGACATGTCGGACATGTCGGGCGACATTTAAAACCTTGAGAAGTACATAGGTAACATAGGTTAAGAAAGGATACAAACTATATAAATACATCTACAGACCAAACATTGCGTTGCACTAGATTTCTCTTTCCTAATCTCTAATACATTTTTTATGTCTTTGACATGTCCAGAACCTTGTAAATTTAGACACGTCAGAGTATCCAATGAGTATTGATAAGATATCCTAGTATCCAAGTGTTATTATTCGGTGCGATAAATTGCCTATATTGACGTATCGTGCCACATACTGGACCTTTCCCATTATGGAACCAGCAGTGTAGTTTGCCTGCGATAACCACTCCGGCTGACAATGTGAGTCAGGATGTGAATATCACCCAACCCCATAAGAGGCCTAAATTCAAAGCATGGCCATTTGTTATAACATCATTTTGTAAACCATGTTCTTGCAAAACCTGAATTGTGAAGACTTCAATTATCTTATAACACTGATGGAATAGCAAGGCTAGTCATTAGCCTATTACAAGCCATACTACAGAGCAAGAACCCATTATTGTACATTTTGTAATAGCTGAGAGGGAGGGAAAAAAGTTACCTCTCTCAAAAATTCATTAAAACGTTCTTGATGGAAATCTTGTTCCATAAGTATCTTCACAGCAACATCCTGCCAACAGTAGTGAAAAGCAACAAAAAAACTATGAAGCTGAGTCATTCAAGAATAATAGTACCTACATCCAACACAAAAAAAAGATCCTATGCAGGATAAAGATACACAGGCAAGTATTGACTGCATAGAAATGTTACATAAATGAATTGGATAGTGGATATCTGGGTGCCTCCAAATTTTCTTTTAAAAAATTTTGCTACCAGATTTTTATTTTGATATTTTCACTACACTAAATCAATGCGAAAATGATAGCAACATATGTATCAAAATAGACAAAAGGAATTTAACACAAGGAACAGGTCTCAGAAACATACAGAACCATTCCAATCGGCACGATGAACAGTTCCAAAAGAACCTGAAAGGTGGACCCAGTCAGTAAACAGAAAGTAGAGTTAGCTACAATCATAAACCAAGGATCAGTATATAAGAGACAAACGTAGCATGCTTCTAATCATGAATAAGAATTTCAGACATGTATTATCAGCACTTGAATGTGCAGATGGTAATAATTATAAACCTGAACTTCAATTAGAAGTATGAGAGTCAAGTGTGGTAATGGTTGTACTTAGCAAAGGTAGATTTACAGCATGACTATATTAAAGTAAACATTCACCTGCCCCAATTTTTTCTTTCAGGACCATTTCACTCCATGGAATCGTCAGATCATCCAAAGCAAGAGTTATGCTATTACTAGGTCGGAATCTTCCTTGTTGGTACTCCTCATAGAATTTCTTCTTATTATCAATCTTAGGACCACACAAGGGTAAAGCCTGTGAAACACCCGCATGACCATCTTGTGGACTGAGTTTTAGTTGAGCAGTCTCATTTATTGTTGATTCTGAGCTCAGTGAAGGACCGCTTAACTTTTGGAGCTGCAAAATTCCATCCTGGCCAACTGGTCTAGGAACCATCTGAAATTGCTGATGAGGTGCTTCCATAAGTTCAGCTTCACTATCCGTTACAGGTTCAAAGAAGTTTATGTCCACATCATGACGCTTTGATGAGGATGGATCAAGAACATCTTCTTGACCAACATTGTTACCTAGTAAATGAAACATTTAATCCATTAAAAGTCTATCATATGATTTGCAGGTTAGCAATTGAAAACTAAAGAACATATATAGAAGCCCATGACCTAACAAGACCAACTGAACTCATCACTATGTGATCCATTCTAATCCTGACTAAAAATCATTATGCATAAAAATATAAAGACATCTTGGTCTTAAAGTTCAGGTTGAGCTCATAATCGGCATTAAAAGACATCCAACCACATATAAACAAAGACGTTATCTCCTTACCATGTATGCGCATTATATCTCTCACTTATGTAGATAATTCTCTAACCTGTTTAGATTAGACATATCCTATATGTGTTAACTGTGTTGTGGTCTGGTCACTGGTTATGGGCATTTATCTTTTCCTTATTTAGATAATTTGTTGTACAGGTCAAGCTACATGTGTGTGTTATTCTCTATGGTCACTGGTCCCAAAAGCTGTGTATGAACTATAAACACCATTCACTAACCGGTCCCATTGAGTTGGTCATTCTTACGGTTAACATTTTAGTCTTCCGATGTCTTATCATGGTACTGGAGTCAATGGCTCTTCCTAAAAATTTTCCCAGCAATAAAAGCTTGTATATATGTCTTATTCATTATCATGGTCAAAACGAAGAAAGAATAAGGGTTGCTAATTTTTCCTATTAAAATCTTCAGCACCCTCCTCCAAACCCCCTTGTGGATTCGTCATCTCACTTCGGAGAACTCCCACAGATCAAAATTGTCCTTAACTGGAAGTTTCCATTTCAAAGCTAAGAGGAGCAATTTGCAAGGGCCGCTAAGAACAGGAAAACATGCCATTTGATGTCAATGAGGAGGGATGTTTGGAGTCTAAAACAAACTATCAAGAAAAATTAAATGATTTTTACCTTCAACACTAGTCATGGTTCAGTAGTTGCTAAAACCAAAAGAATGTTCAGAAAAGCAAAACAAATTTTTAATTAAAAAAAAAGAAAAGAAGAAAGAACAACAAATTGTTAGAGTCCGTGTAATAACAAAATAAAAACTCATTCCTTAGTTTTCTTTTGTTGTTCCCTAAGGATCTGAATGTCCCATCCAACCCTGCTTGATGGCTCAACCTTCAGTTGAAACTTGCAATTAACTAAAAACATATGTAACCAAAGAAAAAAAAATACTCAAATTCTACAGCATGTCTGCTCTCACATAATAGTTGATGTCAATGGCATCAAAGATAGACCCGGAATCCAAAGAACATGATAACATAGTGGCTATAAAGGAAACTATTTGAAATCACATTTCAAACAAATGCATGCTCCCATTTTCCACTTACTGTGACCACATTATCTACAGCACAAAATAACTGGGGACACAAGATAAATGTAAAGTAAGCTTACACAAGGAAGTCACCTGCTGATGCATCACTGAACATAAGATTAAGTGATTGGCAATCTAGGAAATATTGCTTGGCTAAGGCTTTGAAATTCTCCTTTGTTTCGACTGATTTGAATTTTGGAGGACGCATAGGTGAAGCAATTGAGATGGAGCAAGGGCCATTCAGTAAAGAATCAGGTTCACATAGCGATCCTGGGTTTCCAATCAAATCAACCAGATATTCCCTGCAAAGATAAAAACGTTAAAGAAATGAGGATATGTAATAGGAACAAGAGTAGAGAAATTTGAAAATATTCCAAAAGATAAGAATAAAAAATTGTGAATCACACTCTCATATGAATAAGTAGGCACTAGGTTGCACAGGTACGGGTACCGGCACGGGACACGGTAAATTTGTAAAAAGTAGGGTACAAGGACACACCACACACACACACACATATATATATATATGAAAAAATGGGTATGCTTAGTACCAAGCACAAATTTTGTGCTCGGTAGTGAGGCGTCTCATTCCCATCCACTCCCTAACCCATATGAATGTGATCACCCATTTGAATGAGTGGATGGGAATGAGACACCTCACTACCAAGCACAAAAAGTTATGCTTGGTACCAAGCATACCCATATTTCTCTTTATATATATACGAATCGAATATGACCGAATAGTTATTCAAACAATTATCGAACCATTTATTAATTATTTGGTTCATTTCCACCCCTACATACATACATATACACTTACCTATTTAAATATGAAAACACATGTCTCCCATCCTTATCACTGTCATTATTTTTAAAGAAAAGATAAAAGCAAATAGTCAAGCACTCATGTGAATGGTGGTCATGTTTCACTAACAAACTTAAAACTAAGGAAATAAGAGAGAGAGAACATCTTCTTTCTTGTTTCTCTCAGATCTCAAAGGTAAACTCATTTTCCTCAAACAAAACTGCTCTAGAAATGCTCTCACGCGTGGGAAATGACTTGCTCCCATGTCCCATCTGTTTGGGTGCGGAAACATACCCAAACCGTACCCAACACAGGTACGGCACGTCTACAGCCATGTCAATGTCAGGATATCATAGGATAGGCAATTACACCCTCAAGAAGAAACACAAGGGTACATATGTTCAGAGAAGAGAGAGAATCGCATACACGATCAAATAACTACTCATGAATTCCCAATCAACATAATACACCAGATTCTTTCATAAAAGATTCAAATTCCAACCAATTAACTTCTGGATATAGTGCAATAACTCAAATCTCAAGTAGTATCAACTAACAAAGAAGAACTAACCCAACCAATAAAACACATGCAATAAATTTGAAATCTTAACTTATTCTTTAAGCGTATGAGCTATCTAAAATGCTGCCATTAAATTGTTAAAGGATAAAATTATAGTCCGCATTCTCTATCTCCAAACCCATCCACTTCAAAATTGAAATGATGTTACTCAACATCAAATATCACTTGGTAGGTGAAAACTCAGCCTCCAGTTTTGAAATGGAATGATGTCACAACAAAACCCTTGTCCAAATTTTTTGGGTGCCACATGTATCATATTATTCCAAAAGATTCTATTAAGAGTATCTTCTTTGTTAAATTAATCATCGACATCTCCTTTTAATTGTTTACAACCAAATTCTCTATTGCCTGCCGCTAGTCCACCTTACTCCATTACTTACAATCCTATCACTTCTCTTGATGGGTGCATTATTGAACAGTCAAACCATGTAACTGATTTCTCTCTCATTTTATTCTCAATATGAACAATCTCTTTTTCCTAAGAATATATACTTATTTCTCATCCTATCTCTAAGTGCAGCCGCATGTCTGTCATAACATTCTCATCTTTGTTGTACCCATTTTTTCATCTCTCTTTTTGAACTGCCCAACATTCTAATTCGCAAATCATTGTTGGTTTACACAATTACACTAGTATTATAGAAATTTCACTCAATTTCATAGATGTTTTATGATCACATGGGACTCAAACAAATTTCTATAGTTCAAATATCATGCTTTGATTTGATGAACTACATCATCATTAATCTCATGAACCATGATCTGGACAAATGATTGATCCTAAATTGTAAAATTGATTATTCATTTCCCATGTACTTATTTGTTCCAATGATACTAAATCCTTTAGATTCGAGAGCTTCTCCCTACCTTTCTACTTTAGAAATTATTCATTTCCTAATCATTAATTAATATTATGTTATAAGATAATAAGAAGCACCTTTTTGTCTTGAATATGTTTACTAAGTTCAACAATAACTAATGCAAAAAAATGACTAAAGAATGTTCCTTAGAGATTTTAAATGGAACAAAATGGAAATCCTTGAGTGTCAAAATCATGAGTTGAAACCCCTCTATGAAGCCTCAGTGGAGCTTGTCCAACATGACTTTTCAAACATGACATTTTATTTGAGTAGTGGACAAACATTTGTTAGCCAAAAACTAGAAGCACAACATGATCTCCTTCTTTATTAATTGTTGCATTAGCAATAATAAGATTGGCTCCAAAATCAATGACAAAAGTGTAGTGATTAAATACCTACTGAGAGCAGTGTTTGAAAAAGGTTTTTGATGTACACCTCGAGGCATTTTCAAGGATAATCGTCTCAAAGCACATAAGCAAAGCCATTTGTCCGCCTCACTAGTTGAAGCAAAATTGAAGTGTGCTCCGCACTTCATGAAGTGCTCCTCTTTTGAAGAGCACACATCAATAAAGGGGTAGGAGCCTAAAAAGGGATATTTGACTAAAGCTAAAAAATGCCCATCTCCTCATCTCCTTTTCTCCCTCCTTAAGGATTCCCTGCTTCTTTTTATTGAAGTAAAACAACAAAGATGTTTGGATTGACTACTAAACTACTGACACCCAATAATGAACCATAAAAATATCAGACTTTACACAGCCTGAGCTTCATCCTAATAGTTGCATCAAATTGTTTGGATTGTCAGAACTAAATATAGAGCACCTCAGATTTAAGCTTAACAACTAAGACCTAATAATTAATAAGAAAACCTTAAAATATCAGACTTTGCACAGCCTTATAAGTTACCGGTCTTAACAAAAACATCCTCCATTTACAGTTTGATAAGCAAATATACAATCATGAAAATGCAAACGAAACAAGAATAAAAAAAATGAAAATATGTAACTCAGCTAAAAAGCAAATTAGAACTTACTCCATAAACAATGTCAGCTACTTTAATCCTCTTCTCACTCACACTGCATTAGTAATCTAAAAGTGTCGATATAAAACTTAACAAATTGCTTAAAGCACTCACCTGTCAGGACCAAAGCGGACAAGACAAGAAGACGAATCATCACATTTACAATATTTGCAGCCCTTGGCGACACGACACGGTAAATTTATTGTGTCCGCTAACATCTGAAAAGAAATAAAGCAAACTGCTCATAAGTTCAAAAAAGATGCAGAATACAAACCTCTTTCTGAGAAAATATAAGCTGAAAATAACCAAGTAGAAGAGATGTATATTTTCATGATTAAGGTCTACTTTATAACCTAGGAAAAGAAAAGGTCAGATAAATATCGAACTGGAAAACTGATGTTTACTTTAAAAATCAAGGCTCGATGCCTGCAAAGACCAACTGGCAGCTTTCCCATGGATATTACAACAGAACCTGAAATAGCCTTGAGAATCCCACTACGTTCTTTCCAACGAGGAAGCAGAACCCCTTCTTCATTAGAAGCTGAACCCCTTGATGTGGGAAGGGAATTTTAGAAACTGAAGCAAAAGAGGGAATTCATGATTTCATTAGGTAAAATGAATGTACACCAACTCACCCCATTCTAGAGCAAACGAGCTTGGCAAGCTGTTCCACCATATCATTTGTGGTAGTACAACTACATGATAGGCCTGCTACTATATTCTGTAACTGCCTTAGATCAGAATCGCTATTTCTATCTATCATAGCCACTTCAATTGGTGATTCATTAGGATGCACAGTTTTCAATGACTCAAGAGATGGTATCCGACTCTCTTCCTGCACATCAGTGCATAAAGTCCAAACAAAGGGATCCATTCCCTGAATCATGTAGAAACCATCTGGTACCCTGTCATAGTATGATAAGCAGCCATTTACCTGCGAGATAATGTCAATAACATATAAAAAGGTCATGTCCAAGCCATGTGACAAAAGGGAAAGAAGGTTGCCTATTCTTTCTTTTAACTTCTCTAATCAACAAAGTAAATTTAACTTATAAAAAGCCACAGCAGATTAAATGTTTACATATGTCTATCTACCTGTGAAGTTTGAGCTTAAAACTAAAGAGGAACCTTCATAATCCCGGGGCCCAGGAAGAACCTAGGCAAAGAGGCAATCATGCGATTTGCTATTGGAAGTCATCCACGCTTTTGCACGGGATTTGATCTATCTACTTAATGCTTATCAATCCCTCTAGATATCACTATATCTTTCAAATTTAATATCTGAATATCCATCCCTCCATCCAGTCATTCATCTATCCAATGGTTATTCCACCTATGTATCTGTTTTCAGTAAATCAATATTAACGTTGTACCCATCAGTAAATTAAGTATCCTCCCTCTAAAGTATTCATTTCAGAAAATATTTCTAGTTTGCTTATAACCCCTGCGCACCATTTAAATTGCTCATACTAGGTG